CGTTCCGGGCCCCAAATACTGTGTGTGTGTGTGTGTGTGTGTGTGTGTGTGTGTGTGTGTGTGTGTGTGTGTGTGTGTGTGTGTGTGTGTGTGTGTGTGTGTGTGTGTGTGTGTGTGTGTGTGTGTGTGTGTCCACTTCGTTTGCCACGATCGGCGCACGACGAGCCGGTTTGCAGACACTTACAGAACTTCACTCTTTTCCACTGCGGCGGCCACTTCAAACTCAGAAACTCTCTCTCTCTGTCACTCCACACCACCCAGACGGCTAGTGCTAGTCCCCCATCGGGAGGACGACCCCCCGGCTAGTCGCCGACCACACCCACGAAGAACCCGGCACAAAGATCGCAAGGGCGGGGACCTGTTCCTTTTTACCCATCTCACAGTAGAGGTGTCCGTTTTTATTTATTTATTCCACACCACCCACGGGCGCATCTCGCGCGCACTCCGCCATCGCAAGCGCCTGCCCAAACTCCGACTCGTTGGCCCGGCGCACGCTGATGCCATACGGCGCGAGGTACCGCCCCGCCCGCGTGAGCATCACCTCGCCGCTCGCCGCGTCCGTCAGCTTGCCCCCCACCTCGACGTGCGTCAGCTGGAACGGCAGGTACGCGCCCAGCTCCGTCACGAACTGCGCGAGCGAGGTGCCCAGCTGCTCGAACATGGTCCGCACCGCGGCGTCCAGCGGCCTCGACTGCATGGCCACGATCGCAGAGCGCTGCTCGGCCTTGCCCTCGATCCGCGCGCCACCGCGCGCCGCGAGCAGATGGAAGAAGGAGCGCTGCGTGCCCGCCATGCCCTGCGCCGCCCCGGCCACGCCGAGCGTGTCGTGTGTGGGCAGGGCCATGGCTGTCGTCGCGGCGGTAGCCCCAGCAGCAGCACCAGCGCCGACGCCTGCACTGGCACCCTCGACACTTCGGACAGATGGGGGTCTCGGCAGGCCGACGATCAGCTTACCCATCTCGAAGACGCCCCCACTGCACCGCTCGCCCCTCGCGTTGACTACCCCGCCAGCGAGGCCCGTGCCACATGACAAATAGAGCCCAATGGCCGTGGCATTCTCACCCTCGGCGCTGGCAAGGCCCTTGCTGCCCCAGAGCGCGGATGCGTCGCCGTCATTCACGAGAAACGTCTTTGCATCACCCGGTGCGACCATCGTCACTGCCGCCGTCGGCGCCCCATCAACGCGCGCCCCTTCAACACGCGCGGAGACGTGCCTCGCCACAAACCGCCACAACGCCTTCTCGAGCACTCTAAGGGTGGGTGCGGCGGCGGTCGGATCGCACCCGGCAAACGCGGGCGGCAGCCCACAGAGCTTGCCGTCGATCACGCATCCCGCCGCGGAGAGGCCGAGGCCGCACACTCGAATAGTGCCGCTGCCGCCGCCTGCTGCTGCTGCTGCGCTCTCGCTCTCGCCGTCCTTTGCAGCAGCAGCAGCAGCAGCAGCAGCAGCAGTTGCGGCTGCTGCTGCCGCCTTGCCTATCACCTCGATGGCCGCCTCACCCATGCAGCGCAGCGGCGCCTCGATGGTCGTCAACATCGCCGGATCCACATACTCCCGTGATCCCTCCTCCACCGGCACCGGCACCGCAGCAGCACACGCATCCGCATCCGCGAGACGCCCCGGCGCGCGCCACCAGCGCGTGACGTATGTGGCCAGCTCCGTGCCGTCAACGTCGACCGCCGCACACTTGACGTCAGACCGGCCATAGTCCACGCCGATATAGACGTCGCGGTCGGCAAGATTGCCGCTGGCGCCGGCTGCTGCTGCGGTGGAGTTGTCGTGTTTGCTGTGGGCCGCGGATGCTGGTATGAATGGCAGCGAGCGCATTACGGATGGCACGTCGTCCAGTTGCGCGCGACTCACCTTGAACTCCTGGCCGTATTGCTTCAGGTGCGCCGCAAGTTTTGGGTTGCTGTGAAAGAAGGCGCCAAATGCCTGGAACGTCTCATCAAACTCACAGACGAGGCTGACGTGCGCGGTGCCGATGATGGCCGCGGCAATGGTCACGGCTCGTGCTGTAAGCAATTCGAGTGCTCTCTCGCGCAGCGGCTGATTGGGCTTTGGGATACGCATTGCAAATGCATACGGCTCGAGAGGTGGTGGCCGCTGTGCAAGCAGCGTGATGCTCTCGCAGTTACATTCTGGGCAGGCTTGCAGTTTGAGCTCCACGGCTGACAGCGGCTCCATGACTTGATCGAAGGCGCCGACCATTTTTTGGCGCCGGGGGCCCGCCCAATTCGGTGGTTAGATCGAAGACACATACACCCAGCAAGACAAAGAAGGCCGTCGTTGGGAAAGGCAGTTCGCAACTAAACGGCCGAAGCGGGTATCACTCCAGTTCACGCCCGCCGACCCCGATGCACCTTATTACCCAAACCCCCTACCTGCAAGCCCACCGAGAGGGAGGGGTAGGGGTCAGCCTTGCTCAATTAAACACGAGTTCCACCGTAGGCGTAGCGCGCATAACTCTAAGCGCGCGTGTGTGCGACTGCAGGACTGCAGCGCTCACGCGGTCCCGGGCTCGGTCCTCCCACATTCTCTAAATGATGAGTCTCGCTCTCCCTTACACAATAAGGGGCCTCTGCGAAAAATGAAAAGCGGAGTACCTCAGAGAGAGATTTTTAGCAATACCAAACAACTCTAACACTCACACGTAATTTGTTGTTTGTTACCTCAGTGGGAGCGAACTCTGACGGAGAGGGAGGTTCCCCTTGTTTGTTTGCCCAATTCGGTGGTTCACGATCACACGTCGGGCTTTGCAGAGAACAAAGTCGGAGCACTTGGAGCACTTGGAGTGCAGTCATTAACTTCACATCCAGGGCCGGGGAGCTCAGAAGCGCACCCAGCGGGCCGGATGATCGGTATCGGGCTACGGGCTAGAGAGCCCTGACCCCTAGCTAGGGGGGGGGGTGCGCGTTCGCAGGGCAAGGGCCTTAAAGTAAACACAGTTCTCCGAGAGGGCTCCGTGTACCGGGTTTCCCCTTAACTGCAGAACGCCCCCTCTACTCGGAGCTAGTGGACACGGACACGACGACACCACCCGTCACGTACACACACGACTGTCTAACGTGTACACTGCCCGGCCTCGTCCCCCACCCTTCAGGGTGAATCTTCAGTCTGGTTCGGTCTCTTGCTCGCCTTTCGGGCGTCGCCCCACTGCCTCTGCAGTCGTTTCTGATGTCTCTTCCTCGGGGGCGGTCCCTCCGCCCCACCTCCGTCGGCTAGCCCCATTGGCCCCGAGGGAGCCGACAGCCCGGGTGGGGCCTCCCCGGGCGGGAGTGGCGGCATTGTGTCTCGTCGCCACCCCTCCCCGGGAGGTCGGGCCGGCTCTCCCTGGTCGGCGAATCGCGCCCGCACCCGCGGCCTCTCTATCGTTCTCGGCTCGCCCTCCCCCTCCGCCGGCTCCTCTCCAGGCTCGGGGAGGCGTGGCCCTCCCTGTCGAAGGTCGCGGTGGTCCGGTTGCCACTGCGACGGAGTACCTCAGTCTTTTTGCTTTGCATGCAGTGAACAAAGTCTTCTCCGCTGACACCCAGTTTGTTTCCACTCAGTGGAAAGAATCTGAATTGTAACGAGCCGTGTTGTATGTATGTATATCCCGCGCGCAGTCCGCAGAGGCCAGAGCTCTCGCCAATCGCGCTCGCGTCGATGTGGTGGGAGAGAATAGAAAAGAAAGGAGAATGCATTCGTGTGCGACCGTGTGTCACATGTCAGAAGTCTGTGAGGCAAGCGTGTCAGCGCGTCAATCAATCAAGCGGCAACACGCAAATGGGCCCGTCCGTCACGCACGCACGCACATTTGGACGGAAGCGAGCTGAGAGCACGGGGCTCTATTCGGTGCATGGTAGCTACGGAAATTTTTGTGTACACTGTCGGTGAATGGCATTTTTGTGTATTGACGTCGTGTCACGGTCTCTGCGGTCAGCGGGGACGGACGCCACCAAACTCGGCACAAGGCCCACCACGGACGAAGACTGCCATGCCATCGCTTCGTGACCTGGTCATCTCGCATCCTCGTGTCTGGCTCCTCTATGCGGTGGGTCTGTGCCTCTGTCTTCTCTGCATGCCCACGCACGTCTTCCTCGGCGCATCAATGGCATGGAGTGTCATTCTCTCGATCGTTTTTGGAGAGCAAATGTCCGGCGCCCAGCCTCGCGAGCCAGGAGCCGTTCAACACAACTCCGCTTCCCAGCGTGAAGTAATCGCAGCGACCGTCACCATCTGCCTTCTCATCAGCTACTATTCGACCCTCTACTTTCCCATGATGTTTGAGACGGGTCGTATCGTGGTGGACGCTTTGATGGAGCCAATGGCAAAGTGGTCGTGTTCGACTCAGGGCCGTGCGCCGAATGTCCTTCCGATAATGTTCGTCGGTCAATCGATTGGTGTCCTTGTTGCTATCGTCCCCATCTTCGTCCTTTTCTTTCCCGCAGTCTGGTACAAATCGTGGCTGGAATCGTGCCCGAAGAGCCTCTCGTACGGTGACAAGGTGAAGATGTGTCTGGCCATTGCATCCACGACGTGCATCCTTTCGGCTCTTCCGGCGGCCCCAGTCTACAGGGGCGGGGCGTGGGGGAGTCGCCTTGATAAGCCACCGGTTGGCTGGATGCAATTCGGGCTGATGCGTGAGCTGGATCTTGCTGCGTGAGCAGCAGTGTGGCTGGATCGTGGCGTGCTGGCGTGTGTGTGATGTGCACGGCTTTTTTCGCTTTACTGCCAATAAGTTTCCATGCGCCGCGCTGCGCCCAACCCCTCGTACTCCGCCAACCCTCATCCTCACACACCCGTCAACCCTTGCTCATGCTCTCGGGTCCTGAGGCGTGAGGGAGGCGGGAGGGTGTTGTGTAGAGGATGTAGAATGTAGAGCGCTGTAGAGCTGTAGAGTAGAGCTGGAGAGCGCTGTAGAGCTCTACATCCGGCCAGAGCGCTATACATCTCTACAGATCTACAGACAGCGCTCTACACTCTACACATTCTCTACACCCTCCCTCAGCTCGGGTCTCGCGCACGCTCTCGCCTCTCCGCTTGCAGTTGCACCTTTTTGCGCTTTGGAACCGCGTGGAAAGAACCGTCGAGAACACCGGCCTAAACATATAGCCTAATTGAGGGCCCATTTGCGTCTGATTGCTTGCAGGGTTTGCACCGAATGATCTAACCACTGTTGGAACCAAAATGTCGTCCGATTAAAAATGTGCCAAAATTCCGTCGACCCGGTTTGTGCTCTTGAGTCTTGTGGTACAGCGCTGGTAGATGATCTCTCGGAGAAGAGTCGGAGGGACCTTGGCGCCGGGGTCACGAGGAACTTACAAATCGTGGCCGGGGCGGGCCCTGCGACGGGAGCGGTGCAGAGGTGACACCAGCTGAATGATGAGGCTACTAGTATAGCGCGCATAATCAAGAGAGAGGAACACATCGAATGGCTGAGGAAGCTCTTCGCTGGGTGGAAGGATGCCCGGCCAGCCTTGAGGGAGTCGCGGAGGAGGAGGGATAACGGAGGCGAAGCAGGGGCGGGCCAACAGCCAGTGGGTGAGTGGGACGAACGAGGGCCGCGAGGGCGGCTCAAGCGGGAGGGAGCAGAGAACGCAGGGCAGACGACGGGGGAGAGTTGGAGCAGACGCGCAGGGCGAGACGAGGGAGCCAGGGAGCAGGACTTTGCGGAGATCAGCAGGAGGATGTACGAAGAGATTAGGAGCAACAGAGCTCCAAGTGCTCCAAGCAGGGACCCGCGAGGCGCGAGGGACCATGTGGAAGACGGCTAGAGTGCTAGTCCCCACATTTGGGAGGACGACCCCCCCGGCTAGTCGCGCGCTCGCGCCGACCATACACCCCGAGGCGTTACGGGCCCCGACACGCCCCACAAAAAGAACCCTGCAAGGACAGACCGCATTGGTACGCATGGGCGGGGGACTTGCTCCTTTTTAACCATCTCCTAGAAGTTGTGATGTGCACAGACTCGCGCTTGCTTTTTTTCGCTCCGATCCTGCGGATCTTCATGTAGTCGAGACCGGAGGGCTACGAAGCTCGAACGTCGAAGCCTTCACACTCCATCTCAAGCGCGGCTGCGGCGTGCGGGGCTGTGTGTCAGTCTGTTTTTCTTTCTTTCTTTATTTCTGCGGGCGGTTTTATGTAGAAGAAATCAATTACGCGGCCGCTAAGCCGCTAGCCCGCGGTGCCGGTGGGCTAGTGCCATTTCACTCTGACACGCTAATCTTGAAAACGTCTCCAACGGAGCTCCGTGTTGCATCCAGCGCCCTCCCCCGCGCTCCCTGCGGCCATGGCCGATGATCCTAGTATGAGAGGTCATCTGGCTACCGCGAGAGCGACCCAACTCGTCGACATCGTCCGATGATGGTGCCGCAAAGTCAGCCTTCGGAGGCTATCGTGGGGTCGAGCCGGCAGTAGCCGTGACATGTGGTTCCACCACCCCTCGTAGGCTTTGCCTCTGATCGCCACCGTTCCCAGGCTGCCTAACGGGATGGAAAGGAAGGCTCGGCGAGCGTATAGAAGCGTGCTCGACCTCGACGTGGCAACCTGCACGGCAGCGCTGGCGGGCGCGATGAGCGTCGTGCCACCTGACCCGAGACGGGTCGCAGGCGTCGTACTGAGCGCGTCGAGACCGTGTCCTGATGTGATCTGCACGGGTAAATCACGTCGGCGTCAAAGGAGCGACGTGCGACCTGTCAGAGCTTGATCTCCGATCTCAGCGGCGTCGAGTCGTCTCCGGCGCGCAACAAATGTACCTCCCCAGGACGCGCAGAGGCAGCTGCGACCCCGCCGAGTGGACGGCGGCACACCGCGCCACCTGCTGTGTGCCGCCGTCTACTCGGCGGGGTCGCAGCTGCTTCTGGAAGGCACCGAGAGGTACCTTTTTCGCGCAATGGTCAAAATCAAGGTTTTGTAACGCGAGCTGTGCCACAGTGAAATGGCACTAGCCGTGGCGATCGCGTCCCTTTCAGCCAAAATCGCAGCGCGCGCTCTCCCTCGCCTCGTGCGCCGCGAGGGCGGCGGCGCCCATCGGCGGCGTGGTTGGCTGCGAGATGCCGCGCGACCAGCTCGGCTCGCGCCCAAACACCTGGCGAGCGGAGTGGAGTCCGTCACGGCGAGGAGCGGCGCGACAAGTGGCTGGCTCGCTCCCAACCACCTCGGCGTGCATGGCCGGCGCCGCGAGGGCGACGGCGGCGTCCTCCGGCGGCACCTGCCGCAGGGGCGGGAAGGCGGCGGTGCGAGGCGGGACTGGAGGAGGGAGGGGCGGTGTCCGAGGCGGGGTGGAGAGGGAGGCGTGCCGCGGGCGAGGGGCGAGGAGAGAAGGTGGGCAGATGGGCGGAGGAACGCGCCTCGCTCCCCTCCGCCTCTCCGAGCACGCTGCGCCGGAAGGCGGGGTCCGCCCGACGGGCGAGCAGCGCCGCCATCTCTGCGTACGCCTCGCGCCTATTCGCGGCATCCTGGCGTGACGAGACGCTATCCACAGCAGCGCCCCTCTCCGCACTCCTCTCTCGCCGGTAAGCCCACGCCTCGCCCTTCGGCCAGAGCACACCTGCGCGGACACCGCGACCACGTCAGCCCTCTCCCCACCGCCGCCGCCCACGGCGCCTCGCCCTCTGCGCCGTGCTCATCCTGCACCACTCTCCTCTGCCACTGCACCACTCTCCTCTGCCCCTGCACCACTCTCCTCTGCCACTGCACCACTCTCCTCTGCCACTGCACCACTCTCCTCTGCCACTGCACCACTCTCCTCTGCCACTGCACCACTCTCCTCTGCCACTGCACTACTCTGCCGCGCGCCGTCGCCGACCGGACGGCCGACCTGCTCGGAGGAGGGGACGTGTCGGGGGCGTGTCGGGGACGTGTCGGGGACGTGTCGGGGGCGTGTGTCGAGGGCGGCCGACCTGCTTGGAGGAGGCACCTTCCACTTGCTCGAGCCAGTCCGCCAGCGAGAGGGTGAGAAAGTCGAGCCATTCTGAGTGACGCGTCCCGCCCGACCGGAGGGGGAGGGGGAAGGCGCCGAGCTCGGGCCGGGCGCGAAAGGCGAACTCGACGCCATCGGCCTGCCGGGCGAGCGACTTATCGTGGGCGGCGGAGGCGCGTTTTGACGGGCGTGGCTTTAGAGGTGGGTAGGAGGTGTCTCCGAGGTGTCTTGGAAGTGGCGACACCGGCCAGTCGCCCTCGGCCGCGGCAAAGACGGTCGCATCCACGGTGGCGCGGTCCACCATGCAAAAGATCCACGCGAGCCGCTCCGCCTTGGCGCCGATCAGGCCGGCGATCTCGCCGCGGTGCGATAAGGGCAGCGCGTAGCCCTGGAAGCCCTCGGTGCCATAGATGGAGTGGAAGAGCGCGGCGTTTGTGAGTCGCTCCGCCGCGCCCCAGGAGCGGAGGACGGACTGCACGCCGACGAGGTGCCTGTCAAAGTCCTCCTCCCCGTTGTGCGCGAGCGCCGCCGGCACATGCTCGCGCATTGCCGCGTGGAGCGTTGCGTCGGCGTCGGCCCAGGAGGAGCGCTGCTCCTGCGTCGCGTTAAGGAGGTTGCGGTACGGCTCGACAGCGTACGCCGGCTCGGTCGAGAGTCGCCGCTGACACAGGCGGGCAGCAGCCAGCGGCAGGGAGCGAGGCGACCGTCGTGCGAGCACAAACGCTGCCATGCTTGCTGCGAACCTGGCGAGGTACTCCCACGCCTCTCGGGTTCTAGTCTGGCCGAGTCAACCTGCGTTTCGTTTTTTCTCACACCACGTGCCTCTGGACCGCCGTTCTTGAGAAAGTGGGTGGGTGGGTAAACGCTTCGTAGGCCCCGGATGGTGAGTGGGTGGGTGGGTGGGTGGTGGGTGGGTGGTGGGTGGGGTGGGTGGGTGGGTGGGTGGGTTGGGGTGGGTTTGGTCGTTTCTCTCTCCCCTTCGCGCGCGTCTTCGAGGCACAGCTCTCGTCGTTGCCACAGCATGTCGTTCCTCGCACCGTGCCCACGCGACGGCACCAGCTGACCGAGATCGCGCTCCCTGACGGCTGCCGCGTGCCTTACGGGGGCGGCTTACGGCGCGCTCAACAAGTGTCAAGTCATCCGAGGGCGGACTGCTGTTACGCTCGACGAGTGCGACGCCGCTCCAGCAGCTCGAGGGGTTCAAACGCGAGGCGACCATCGTCTCCGCCGAGCTCGACGACGAGGCGGCCGTTATTATCTCCTGTCCTCGGGAGGGCGGCGGCGGCCCGGTGCAGAGTCGGAGGCGCGCTCCCGATGACAAATATTCGCCTCACAGTCAAACACGGCTGCTCACACGCCCAGCCGTGCTCTGGTGCGTCGCTTGGGACGCCTCTGCCGCCGAGATGTCGAGGCCGGCGCGCACTCTTCGACTTGGGCTATTATCTGGCCTCGGGAGGGCGGCGGCGGCGGTGTAGGGGCGGCGGCGAGCTCCCGGTGGCAAATACTCGCCTCACAGTCAAACACGGCTGCTCACACGCCCAGCCGTGCTCTGGTGCGTCGCTTGGGACGCCTCTGCCGCCGAGATGTCGAGGCCGGCGCGCACTCTTCGACTTGGGCTATTATCTTCCCTCGGGAGGGCGGCGGCGGCGGTGTAGGGGCGGCGGCAAGCTCCCGGTGGCAAATACTCGCCTCACAGTCCAAGATGGCGGCTCGCGCCCCCGGCCGTGCTCTGGCGTGCCTCTCTAGTCCCGCCTGCCACCCAGATACCGAGGGAAGGGCGCACTCTTCGACTTGGGCTATTATCTGGCCTCGGGAGGGCGGCGGCGGCGGTGTAGGGGCGGCGGCGAGCTCCCGGTGGCAAATGCTCGCCTCACAGTCCAAGATGGCGGCTCGCGCCCCCGGCCGTGCTCTGGCGTGCCTCTCTAGTCCCGCCTGCCACCCAGATACCGAGGGAAGGGCGCACTCTTCGACTTGGGCTATTATCTGGCCTCGGGAGGGCGGCGGCGGCGGTGTAGGGGCGGCGGCGAGCTCCCGGCTGCAAATACTCGCCTCACACACAGTCCAAGATGGCGGCTCGCGCCCCCGGCCGTGCTCTGGCGTGCCTCTCTAGTCCCGCCTGCCACCCAGATACCGAGGGAAGGGCGCACTCTTCGACTTGGGCTATTATCTGGCCTCGGGAGGGCGGCGGCGGCGGTGTAGGGGCGGCGGCGAGCTCCCGGTGGCAAATGCTCGCCTCACAGTCCAAGATGGCGGCTCACACGCCCAACCATGCTCTGGTGCGTCGATTGGGTCGCGTCTGCTGCCCGTGTTCTGTCTTATCGGCACGACGACAACAAGCTACCCCTAACCCTAACCCTAACCCTAACCCTAACCCTAACCCTAACCCTAACCCGAAGAACTCGGAGCATTCACCGAGAGCTCGCGTCAACGGACCGCTGGTTCCTCCATTCCGACCCGAAGCGGCCCGTTCTTAGGAGCTGCACAACGGCTTGAACTCTCTGACCGCCCGCTAACCCTAACCCTAACCCTCGGCTGTGGGTCAGGCTGTGCTGTATAAGGCGCGCGAGGCTGGGTGCTTTGCTACCTTGCTTGTGTCTCCCGTGGCCGGGACGGTTGGTTGGGTGGTGGGGGTGGGTCGGTCGGTGGGGGTGGGTTTCCTCGCCTCATCAGCCGGGCCGTGAGGTGGGTGGGGCTGGGGGTGGGTGGGTGGTTCCAAGCCTCAGCCGGGCCGTGAGGTGGGTGGGGTGGGTGGGTGGTTCCAAGCCTCAGCCGGGCCGTGAGGTGGGTGGGTGGGTGGGTGGCTCAAGAAGCTCGTGCACGTGAACGGAGGTCCAGAGGCACGTGGTGTGAGAAAAAAACGAAACGCTGAGGGGCGAGCAGCGTTCAGCTGTCCACAGAAGGCTGGATAGGAGGCGACGTTTTTCTTTTTCCTGTCTCACAAGCGATATCCCGGCAGCAACACGCACGCCGGCGGGATCTTGTCACACATGCACATGCGGGTGGTTCTCCAACGTCTCTTCTCGCCTCGCGCCATCGCGATTGCCATGTGCAGTGCCGCCGCGCGCTTCGATGCGCCGGCCGTCCTCGCGCAGGCCGCCGATGACCGGTCGGCTCCTGCCGCCGAGGTAATCCGCGCGCTCAAGGAGATTGAGTGCGCTCCGCCGCCTGCCGCCACGGCGGAGGACCTGTCCGGACGGTGGGAGCTCGTCTTTTCGACGGCGGCGGCAAAGCTGCCGCTCATCGACGGCTACATGCCCAACCGCGAGGTGCTCGAGTGGGACCTGGCGGCGCGGAGGCTCAAGCTCGAGATCGAGACGCTGCCGCTGCTGCCAAAGGTTCGTGTGGTGGGCGAAGAGCTCACCTTTGACGCGGCGTCGCAGACCCTGACGTACTCCGTGAAGCAGAAGCCGCCCTCCCAGTGGCGCGTCCTTCATGTCGACCGCGCCAATGGGCTGCTCGCGGCGCGCTCCTCGGTGACTGGTCTCAACCTCATCCGCAAGCTGCGCGGCGGCGCCATGAGGCCCACAGCCACCCTCGCCGCCGCCGCCCTCTCCGCCGCCGCCTCCGCCGCCACCGCCTTGCGCGCGCGCCGTGCCGTCGCCACCGCCGCAGCGCCGCCCCTGGGGCAAGACTTGTGCGAGGAGTTCGCGCTGTGCGCTCCAAGACGAGGGCTCGCGCCGCTGCGGAGAGCGCCTCTTCACGCGCCTGCCCGTGAGTAGGTACGCGCCGCCGGCCAGCCTCGCGCCGCTGCAGCGCGGCAAGGAGCCAATCCCTCTGGGCGTGCTCAAGGCGGCGAGGGTGGAGGTGTGATCGCGACCGTGAACAGCGCCTCTTCACAGCGCCGCCTGTGAACAGGCGCGCGGCGAGGTGCACCGCGACGGCGACTGGCACCGCTCAGTGCACGTGTGGCTGATCGACGCCGCCGGCCGGCTGCTGCTGCAGCGGCGCGGCTCCGGGATCCGAGGACACTGACCCTTCCTTGACAGCGCCTCTCAACGGCCTCAGACCGCGAATAGGCGCTCTGCCTTCAAGGACACCCACCCCAACCTGCTCGACGTATCGTGCGCAGGCCACATCACCGGAGCGGACGGCGTCGTCGACACGGCGGCGCGCCCGCCCGCGGTTGGCCGTGGAACGGTGCCGGCCTCTTCCACCCTCACCTCTTGGAGCACGGGCTGCTGCTCAACAGGTGCGCGAGCTGCAGGAGGAGATTGGCGTCTCGCTGCGCGAGGCGGACCTCGAGGCCGCTTGGGTCTGCACGCTGCCCGCCTCAGCCGAGGGTGCGACGGCACAGCACGGCCGCTTTCTCTGCCGCGAGTACCAGGCGTGCTCTTCTCCGTGGCTCTTCTCCGTGGCCGGAGCTCTGTGCGCCGCGGAGCCGCCTCACGCCTCCAGCTGTTTGGATAGGAGATCTTCCTCGTGCGCTGCTCCGCAGGCTTTGACGCCGCCGCCCTCGCCCTCGACCAGGGCGGCCAGGGCGAGGTTGCCGGCGTGGAGTGGCGCGATGCGAGCGAGGTGGCGGCGGCGTGGGCCTCTGGAGATGCGGGCTTCGTGCCGCGCACGGCCGTATACGGCGCCATTCTCTCCGAGGCCATCGCAGGGCTGGACGGGTCTGACTAGGGGCCTGAGGTGATCGGGAGGATTCGAGGTCGTGAGGGCGCAGCGTGAGCAGATAGGTTTAGGCATAGTCAGTACAGTCAGAGCAGAGTGGACCACGGGGCCATGAGCAAGAGACTGCAACGCGGTGCAAGAGCGCAAGCGACCACGCTCTCCACGCACCACGGACCACGCGCGTCCACACGCCACCGCGCACCGGGCGCATGGCGCACCACCACACCTGCACCCCACCCACACCGCGCAGCCAGAGGACCCGCACGCGCCGCACGGCCTCTCCCTCTCCGGCTAGTTCCATTTCACCGTCTGACACGCTAATCTTGAAAACGCGTCCAACGGAGCTCCGTGTTGCTCCCAGCGCCCTCCCCCGCGCTTCCTGCGGCCATGGCCGATGATACTAGTATGAGAGGTCATCTGGCTACCGCGAGCGCGACTCAACTCGCCGACGTCGTCCGATGATTGTGCCTCAAAGTCAGCCTTCGGAGGCTATCGCGGGGTCGAGCCGGCAGTAGCCGTGACATGTGGTTCCACCACCCCTCGCAGGCTTTGCCTCTGACCGCCACCGTTCCCAGGCTACCTAATGGGATGGAAAGGAAGGCTCGGCGAGCGTATAGAAGCGTGCTCGACCTCGTCGTGGCAACCTGTACCGCAGCGCTGGTAGGCGCGATGAGCGTCGTGCCACCTGACCCAAGACGGGTCGCAGGCGTCGTACCGAGCGTGTCGAGACCGTGTCCTGATGTGATCTGCACGGGTGAGTCACGTCGGCGTCAAAGGAGCGACGTGCGACCTGTCAGAGCTTGATCTCCGATCTCAGCGACGTCGAGTCGTCTCCGGCGTGCAACAAAGGTACATCCACAGGACGCGCAGAGGCAGCTGCGACCCAGCCGAGTGGACGGCGTCACACCGCGCCACCTGCTGTGTGACGCCGTCCACTCGGCGGGGTCGCAGCTGCCTCTGGAAGGCACCGAGATGTACCTTTTTCGCGCAATGGTCAAAATCAAGGTTTTGTAACGCGAGCTGTGCCACAGTGAAATGGAACTAGCCTCCGCGGTCTCGGGTCTCGCGCGGCTCTCCGCTCTCCGCTCTCCCCATTGCCATTCTCCGCTCACGATGCGAGAGAGCAGAGTCCAGAGAGACGTACAAGCGTCGTAACTCGTATAAGACGTATAACACCTACAGCGTACACGCGGGCTACACGTCGACAGGCCGGACAGCGGACTCGATCTCCGCCTCAGCGCGCCTCCGGACAGCCGGCCGCGTGTCCGCGCCAGCCGCCACCGCGGTGTCGATATACGGATTCCAGGGGGAGGGTCAGATTTCAGATGAATGTAAACATTGTATCACGTGAGTGTAACAATACCCAAGACTCTCCACATCTCCTCCTATAGAATATGTGCTCTACTACGGACAGAAAGCTCGCACAGTGTCGCTGCCACTGCACGATCGCGAAAGCAAGAAGCGCCGACAGCACCGGCTGTCGGCGCTCACGAGGACCAGACACAGTTCAGAGCCGCGCCGTGGCGCAATCCACGCCTCGCGTAGATGAAGCCCAGCCATCCCATTGTTTTTGGATTTTCTCTGTGCATGCTGTGCTGCAAGGCGGTCTCCTGCTCGCGGCCACGATCTCGCGGCCACGATCTCCTGCTCGTCGGCCGCCTCCCGCCTCCCTCGCTGGCGGGCACACCTCAGCAGGCGCTCGGCGAGCGCTCAGCGGCCGTAGCCGTTGGCGTAGCCTGCGGGGCGACCCGCGTGCTGTGGCGGGCCGCCGCGGCTCACGGGCAGGGAAAGCGCGCCTTGCGGCCCCCTCGGGTTTGTTGGGTCGTACGGCTCCCGTCCGCGCTTGACTCCTCCTCCGCCGTGGTAGCCGGCCCCAGCGTAGCCGGGGGCGAAGGAGGGTGGGCCGTGGGACGGGTGTCCGTACTGCTGCTGCGATGGCTGGCCATACTGCGGCGCAGCATGGCCATACTGCTGGTAGTGGCCCCCGTACCTACGTCGCGAGGAGAGGGCCGTGAGGGTGTGGATGCCGCTTGGGACGCGTCTTCTCGAGACTGGCTGGAGCGAGACGAGAGGGCGTATTCAGCATCTAGGAGCCCGTGCTGTTGCTGCGAGGGCGCGTGCTGGGGGCGCTGGTGAGCGCCGGCCCAGTGGGTTGTCGCCCCTTGGGGCTGCTGCTGCGTGGCGGCGGCGGGCGGCACATTCTGTGCGGCCTGCTGGCGCCGTTTCTTGGCCGTGAACTCGTGACAGGCCGGGTACTTTGGTAGGTCTTCAGGCTTCGTCGGCAGGGGGGGTGTCCAAAAGTAGTCGTGGTCGAGCGCCTCCTTGGCGGTGATGCGCCTGGACGGGTCCATCGCGAGGAGCTTGCGGAGCAAATCCTTGCCCATCGGCTCGAGCGCGGCGAACTTGTCGTCAAAGCGCGACATGTAGTGCCGGCCGCCTGCGCGCGCAAGGGGGTGGGGGGGATGGGTCAGAGGCGGGAGGGGGAGGCGGTTGGGATTTTGGTGGGGGGGGGGGGGGGGGGAACCAGGGGCGTGGTGGGTGTGGTGACCCCCGCCCCCCGTTCTGCTTGGTCATCATGTCCAAATAGGCGAGCTTGGAGACGCCGGGCCACGACTGCTCCGTCGGGGTGCCGAGCAGCTTGAAAACAAGGTCCAGCTGCTCAAACTCTTTGCGGCCGGGCAGGATGGGCTTGCGGAGGAAAAGCTCGGCGAGGATGCAGCCAGCGGACCCAAGGTCGATGGCGGGACCCTAGTGCGTCTCACCGAGCAGCAGCTCGGGGGGCCGGGACCCCAGCGTGATGACCCGGTTGGGGTACCCCTTTGATTGGGCGTCAAAGGGGCGCGCGAGCCCAAAGTCGGCGAGCTTGAGCTGTCCCCACTCGTTTATGAAAAGGTTCGAGCCCTGCAGCCGGGGCCAAAGGGCAACGGTTGCCAGAAACCTCGGCCCAGGGTGAAGGAATGGGATAGGGGGGAGGCGTGGCGCGGGAACGGGAGGGGGCCCAGAGGGAGCCGGCCCGAGCAGCCAACCCCTCGCAGCCGCCAGCGTCCTGCGGCCTCACCTGCCTCTGGCGCCTGAAGCTCGCCCCCACTGCGGCGGTCGGCCGCGGCACCCCCCCCCCCCCCTCCCCCCCGGGCCGGCCGTGCCCGCGCGCTGCCCCCCGGTCCGCAAGAGAGGCGCCCCTCTCCGCGTGTGGGGTCCTTGGGAGGACCCTGGGAGGCCCCGTTGGGGGCGGCGGCGGCGGCGGCGGCGGCACGGGGCGGCCCGCGCCTTGATGTCTCGGTGGAGGACGTGATTCTTGTGGCAGTAGCAGATGCCCTCGAGGAGCTGCTTCATGTAGCACTTGATCTGCCCCGGCGAGAAGCGGTGCCCCGAGTCGGACAGCCCGGTCAGGTCGTGGTCGCAGTACTCCATCACCATGTAGATGGAGCCCTTGCCGTGGTTGTAGTCTGACGCGTCGGAGGTCACGATCTCGTGCAGGCGGACGATGTTCTTGTGGTTGAGCACCTTGAGGATCTTGATCTCGCGGATGGCCGTGATCGGGAAGCCCTCCTTCTCGTTGTCCATCCGCACCCGCTTGAGCGCCACAATCTCACCCGACTCGCGCGAGCGCGCCTTGTACACCTGGCCGTACGTCCCCTCCCCAACCTGCTCCACCTTTTCGTACAGCTTGATGCTGCGCGAGGCCCCTGAGGGCCCACCCTCCGTCACTGCCCCCTTGCCGTCGCCGACCATGCGCAGGGTTGGCGTCGGAGGGGGCAGCGGCGGGGAGGAGCAAGGCCCCTCGTGGGGCGCGAGCGCCTGCGCGCAGGGCGGCAGCGGCGTTGCTCAGCGCGCGGTTCCGGGAAGGGAGGAGGCGTTCCGGCTCGGGGAGCACCGCGCGCGCGGTGGCGCACGCGTGGGGGTGCACCACACGGCCCGAGGGTGGGGCAGCAATACGCTGCGTCTGGGACGCGGCGCGGAAGCGGCGCGCGCGCTGCCCCGGAGCGGCGCGCGCGCCCCTTCCTGCGCGCGCGCGTGGGCAGGCGCTCCGAGCACCGCGAGCGAGCCCCATCTCGGCGTGTGCGGCCCCACCCCCCTTTGTTTGCGGCGCGCCGCGTGCACACTCAGGGGCGCTGGCGGGCGGCGCGAGGGGAGGCACCTTCTCCACTTGACAAAAGAAAACTCCGCGCGCTCCCGCCATAAAGGTAAGGACTTTGTCTCTTGGCACCTTGGAGTGCTGGGGGGGGCGACAGGGGGGACGTGGCCTGAGTGATGTGTACGCCCACTCAGGATGTGTGGCAGCCCGCTGGCTGTGTGTCTTGTGAGCTTGTTTGTGTCTGTGTGTCGCTCGTGCGTGTCGTCATCATCTGTCTTGCGTCCACCCATACCGCGTTGGTGTCCAGTCCGAGCCTGACTGTTCTTCACCTTACTACATACATACATACAAGGACTGTGGAGAAGTAGGTTCGCTCATAATGTCCAGCCACGCAGACAGGGGGAGGCAACCGATGCGAGTCGACTGGTGTGTGTCGTCGTGGTTTCGTATCAAGAATACTCACACACTCTCACTCACTCTCCCCAGCCGGAGGCATCGCCGCAACGCTGGCTGCGCCGCGGTCCCGCACCCGTCGACGACGCTCGGGCTCCCCCCTCCCGGTCGCCACCGTCACCCTGCTCAACCCCTTCAACGGAGGCTCCCTGGAGCAGTACATGCACATCGCGCTCCGTAACCCGCTCGACGCCGAGCTGTACGTGCACGGCCTGGCTGCGCGCATCTTGTACAACGACGTGCATGTGGGCACGGTGTCGCTGCCGGAGCTGAACGAGCACGAGGCCATCGTGCTACCGCCGAGCGCCACTTTCGTCACCGCCCGTCAGTACCCGGTGCTCCTGCACGCGGCAAACGTCGCGGACCTCCTCAAGCTCCTCAAGCAGATCAGCCCGCCGCCGGTCGGGGAGGGAAGCGCCATGATCAACCTGGACGCGCGCATCGCAGCGAGGGTGGGCGGCGTCGAGCCGACCCTCGTCTACCGGCAAAGCAACGTCACCTGCCTGCTCGAGAGCTCTCTGCTCGGCGTCAAGCTCCACGAGAACTTTGTCGCGGAGGAGTCTGGCAACGACAGCAGCTCCGACTATCTCGAGGAGGGCGCCTCCAGCTAATGCGCGGCCTTCCGAGGCTGCGCGCGGGGCCTGAGCCCCCAGCAGGCGACTCATTATGCCACCACTCCTCTGCCGCGTCATGGCCATGCGCCACCCCCGCCACTGGGGCTGTGCATTGACGCCGCCTAGCACACGCGCGAGTGCTCACGGGCATGGGCTAGCGGTAAGGGATGAACGAAACGCCGGCTTCGGCCTTCGCACAGAGCTTACGAGGTTACGAGCGGAGCTAGCCGTTTCCATGCGGGTGGGGATAGTTTGTTTTTGTGTTACTTTGGTGTTCTTGCGGTGACCGTGATTTTGGTGTGCCAGTGTGAGACCTTCGTGTAGTCGTAGAGAGAGTGTGTGGTTGTAAAGAAAGAAGGAAAGACTGCCTTGGAGCGATTTTAACTCTTCGTTCGATTGGCACTTGGGCTTGCTAAAAGAAATCCACTGCCGCCGCCGGCCACGAGGGCCGCCTGAACGCACACTCGCGGTGCACTCACTGACCCATGGCGTCCACGGACCCTCGCTTCGCGCGGTTGCACAGTGACCCGCGCTTCAAGCGCGCGCCAAAGCGCGAGCGCAAGGTCAAGGTCGACAGGCGCTTTGCCACGATGTTCACCGACGAGCGCTTTGCCGTCGGCGGAGCAGACAAGTACGGGCGCGGCGCAAAGAAGGCGCAGGCGGGTGGCCTCGACCGGCTTTACGAGCTGGACGAAGAGGATCCAGCCGCAGGCTCGGCTGACGTCGGCCAGGTCTCGGCGGAGGCGCGGCGGCCTGCAGCAAAGGCGAGTAAGAAGAAGGCTGGCAAGGCGGCTGCTGCTGCTGCCGCGGAGGCGGCGGCGGCGGCGGCGGCGGCGGCGGCGACCTCCGGCGAGGAGGGCGAGGAGGATGGCAACCTGTCTGACATGACCGAGGAGGCGACCTCGGACGAGGAGGCGGGCGGCGAAGAGGAGCAGGCGGCGCTGGTGGAGTACCTCGATCAGGCGGAGGCGGTGCCGCGCGTGTCGGAGGGGACACGACGGCTGGCGGTGTGCAACCTCAACTGGGACCAGGTGCGCGCGGTCGACCTGCTCGCCGTCCTCAAGTCGTTCGAGCCCGCGGGCGGCGCCATCCGCTCTGTCTCGGTCTACCTCTCTGACTTTGGGGCGGAGCAGCAGGCGCGAGACTCTTCCGAAGACACTGCCTTACCGGCCACGCGCCCCACCGTTCACGCCAAGAGGCCCGTTCCTGACACCTTCGCGGCACGTCTGTAGGCTCGCGAGGATGTGAGTGGCCCGGCAGGCGTCTGGCAGCAGCAGCAGCAGGCCGGCGGGGGCGAGGAGGGCGAAGAGGCGGACGGCGCCGAGGCGGACAACGAGAAGCTGCGGCGGTACGAGCTGTCTCGCTTCCGCTACTACTACGGCGTGGTAGTCTGCGACAGCGTGGCCACGGCGGAGCACCTCTACGCCGAGTGCGACGGCGCCGAGTTCGAGTACTCGGCGAAGCTTTGCTGCAGCGAGCCTCGAGCCGCGCGCGCCATCGGCCGACGAGTTCACGAGCGGTGCGTGAGCGGGTAGGCGATGTCGCTCGACCTGCGCTTCATCCCCGACGAGATGAGCTTTGAGCGCACGCCGCGCGACGCCGCGACCACGCTGCCGCCCCGGTACAGCGCGCCGTCTTTCTCGAGCTCCGCGCTGCAGCAGTCGAAGGTGCGGCTGTCGCACACGAGTCCGTGACATGACCTGTCCATCCATGACCTGTCCATGACCTGTCCGTGACCTGTCCGTGACCTGTCCATGACCTGTCCATGACCTGTCCATGACCTGTCCATCCATGACCTGTCCATGACCTGTCCATGACGAGTGACGAGTCCACTCCATGGCGTGCACATGGTCTGCCTGCTCATGACCTGTCCCTGACCTGTCCCTGGTGCGCCCCGCAGGTGCAGCTGTCTTGGGACGCGGATGAGTCGGAGCGGACCCAGGTGATGAAGCGAGACTTCACCAAGGGCGAGCTGCGCGAGCAGGCGCGAGATTCGCCGAGATCCGCCGAGACTCTTCGAGATTCACTTAGATTCACGAGATTCTCCGAGATGCGATGGGCAAGGCTGGACTACGCTGTTCCCTCGCCTGCCGACGGTGTGACTCACTCACCGCCCACCGCCTCCCCAGGACTACGCCGCCTTCCTCGCCTCCTCCTCCGACTCGGACGGTGAGGCGGACTTCGAGTTCGAAGGCGCCGCGCCGCCGCCGAAGCGCGGCTCGGCGAAGCGGCTCGGCGAGCTGCTCCGAACGGGTGGAGCCGCCGACGTCGAAGACGCCGACATGGGGATGGAGGCGACTTTCACCGCGCCGGGCGGCAAGCAGGGCAAGCGCGGCGGGCGCGGCGGCGACGGCGAGGCGGCCGAGGAGACGGTGTGGCAGGCGCAGCAGCGCAAGATGCGCGAGAAGCGGCGGGCGCGCAAGGAGGCCGCTGCGGCGGCGGCCGACGAGAGCGGCGCGGAGGGCAGCGGCGAGGAGAGCGACGAGGAGGGCGACGAAGAGGGCGGCGGCGGTGGCGCCAGCGGCGCTGTGGAGGGGGACGCGTTCTTCGAGAGCGCCTTTAGCGACGACGAGGCTGGCGGCGGCGGAGGAGGCGGAGACGCCGCCTTCAGCGATGACGACGTCGGCGAGGCTGAGGCGCCGCCGCCACGCGCGTCGAAGAAGCGGCCGGCGAATGCATCCTCGGCATCGAGCGGGGAGCGCAAGGAGCGGCGGCGGGGCAAGAAGAAGCGAGGCGCGGCCGCTGAGGAGGAGGGCGCGGGAGGGCGCTCCGAGGGGGGCGGCAAGGCGAACGCCGAGCTAGAGCTCTTGATGATGGACGGCGGCGACGAGGAGGGTGGCGGGGGCGGCGGCGCACGCAAGGGGTACGACGTGCGGCGGCTCGAGCTCAAGCAGAAGAAGGGCGCCAAGGGCCGGAGGGCGAAGGCGGGAGGCGGCGCGGGTCCATCGGACGACGGCTTCAAGCTCGACATGGACGACGCGCGCTTCAGCCGGCTCTTCTCGTCGGCGGACTACGCCGTCGACCCGAACGACCCGCGCTTCGTGCGCACGCACGCCTCGGAGGCGCTCCTCTCCGAGATCTCGCGCAGGCACACCGAGGGGCGCGAGGCGGCGGCGGTTGCGCCCCGCCGTCAGCCGCCGGGCGGCGGGGGCGGCGGGGGCGACGGGACTCTCGCAGCGCTCGTCTCTGCCGTCAAGCGCAAAGGCGTGCGCAAAGAGGGCAAGGCGGCCGGCTCGGGAGCCAAGAGGCGCGAACGGCCTCTCTAGGGCTGCGGGTTGATCGGACAGGTCCCACAATCGAGAGTGTCGTCACGGTCAGAGAGGAGATTCAGAGAGTAGACAGAGAGTCGCGCTAAGACTATATGCACGACATCTCAGCTCCTCGGACCTCGCACATTGGCTAAAATCCCCGCCCGAGCCCACTCGTATATATATAAAAAATAGCCGTATAGCATGGGTTTATATCGGGGGACGTTGGCCAAAGTACAGGTTTCGATCCGGGCCACCGCACAAATTTTGATCAGCAAATTTCGATTTTTAGCAATACCTTAATGTGATGTTACAGGTGGGTTAAGAGGGAGATGTGCGCGAGCTGCGGGACCGCCGGGACGGCGGGCGGGTGATTGCGACGCGCCGCCACTTTTGGCGACTTTTGGGACGCGCGTCAATCGGCCGAGATTCGGCATGGCAGGCGAGGGTGTCACGGCCATGATCGTGGCTGCTGACGCCGGAGACAACCCGCTGGCGGACCGCCGCGAGGACCGGAAGGCGGCGGCAGAGCGGGAGAGGAAGGCCAAGGTGGCGAAGGTCGCCTCGCAGGCGACGAACGCGATGGCGGCAGTGCGGGCGCAGCTCGATTTGCGGAAGGTGGCAGCAGACAAGGCGGCGAACAAAGCCAACGACGACGCGGGGGCGCCGGTGAGGGCGTCGTCCACGATGCTCGAACGAGTGTTCGATGCCCGCCTCGACGGTCCGGACAAATACGTTGTGGCTCGACGAAAGGAGCGAAAGACGGCTGCCGGGGCTGGCACTGCTGCCGATTTGGCGGCGGGTTTGGAGAAGATGACGGACTCCGTCGTCAAGATGGCGAGGAGAGACGGCGCCGACGGCAACACAGTGACTGCGGAGCACAAGGCGCTGCTGGATGACGTGGCGGTGGAGCAGGGTCGCAAGGCGATCGTGGCGAGGGCGGCATCAAACTACCGCCAGCACACGGCGTGGCTGGCGACATTTGCGACGTTTGTGCAGTGCTTTTACCCGTGCGGATGGCGGCACAACCCGCCGCTCGACGGAAGCGAGGGCGCAGGGACAGCTATCGACCCGCGGCTGGTGGCTCTGTACCTGGCGATGGTGGCGAACAGGCTGGTGCCGTTGGGAGGGTTTGTGTGCGACCATGTGGACGGGACAGCATCGTTTGCAGCGAAGGGGAGGAAGGCGAAGCACACCAAGGGCGCGGAGGCAGGGGAGCGGTACTACGGCATGGCGTACGTGAAGACCTTCCTCGACGGGCTCAGCGGTTACTCGCGAGTTTGGCGCGTGATGGCGCCGCAGTACGACCCGGACTGGTACGACACGATCTGGGCGCTGCGGAAGGTGTGCAGTGTGCGACTCGACTCGAACCGACCTTTCAAGGCGGCAGCGCTGTGCCCGGTGACAGTGGCGTCGCTGCTTGCGACGCTATCAGTGACAATACCAAACAACTCTAACACTCACACGTCATTTGGGGCCTGGAGCCCCTGCAAAATGATGTTTATGGAGGTTTAAAGTTTGCGGGGGGGGACAGCTTTGGGCGGTCGACTTCAATTTTGGGGGGTTCAATACCAAACAACTCTAACACTCACACGTCATTTGGGGCCTGGAGCCCTGTTCACGCGCGCGCGAGACGTGCAGACAGGGTTGCCAGGTGAGAGCGAATGGCGCGGTTCACGCCTCGCACAACAGAGAGAGAGATGCGCTCTGCATGGTGGGACATAAAAGAAAGCGAGTACTTGGGCGAGTAGGCCGTGCGGTCGACGCTGCCGCGCGCGACTTTGCGCGCGAGGCGGCGCAGCTTGAGAACGGCGGTGGGCGAGAAGCCGCCGCCGAACGTCTCGTGGAGCAGCAGGTTGAAGTTGTTGCGCTTGACAAAGATCGCGTCGTGGTAGAAACCGCGATGCGCCTTGACGTAGCCGTGGCCGTTCTTGTGGTCGAAGGGTTGGCCGGGTTGCCCGCGCGCCTTGCAGCCCATGTTTAGGCGGCGGGCCTCAATACCAAACAACTCTAACACTCACACGTCATTTGGGGCCTGGAGCCCCTGCAAAATGATGTTTATGGAGGGTTAAAGTTTGCGGGGGGGGACAGCTTTGGGCGGTCGACTTCAATTTTGGGGGGTTTACGACGGTTTTGGGGATCCTGCCGACGCGCTACAGTGTTAGCCCCACTGCACATAAGATGGACACCTCAACGGGAGCGCCCTCGCAGCACCCGGGGCCGACGCCTGCAGCCTTAGTCTTGGCCCGATTGCCCTGTTCACGCGCGCGCGAGACGTGCAGACAGGGTTGCCAGGTGAGAGCGAATGGCGCGGTTCACGCCTCGCACAACAGAGAGAGAGATGCGCTCTGCATGGTGGGACATAAAAGAGAGCGAGTACTTGGGCGAGTAGGCCGTGCGGTCGACGCTGCCGCGCGCGAATTTGCGCGCGAGGCGGCGCAGTTAATTTCGAGGGGCGGCCGCAAATTTTGAGGTAGATTTTGATTGTCAAAATGTGTCCGTCTTGGCACAGGATAGAGCATATAGGCGGCGAACACCCAGGTGCGCAGGGACATCGCGACTCTGCCCGCTCGCTCGACCCTTTTGCCGCGAGAGGGCGCCGGCCGGGTGTAAGAGGTGGCTGGCGCCCTGAGGCGGCAATTGGTGGCGTGGGGAGTGCGGAACGCTACTGGCGGCGTGACAGGGCCTCTCTCGGTTGCGTGTGCCGCCCATCGGCACGCGGGTGCGCAGACATCGCGCGACTCTGCCCGCTCGCTCGACCCTTTTGCCGCGAGAAGGCGCCGGCCGCGTGTAATCGTGTAAGGAGGTGGCTGGCGCCCTGAGGCGGCAATTGGTGGCGTGGGGAGTGCGGAGAACGCTACTGGCGGCGTGACAGGGCCTCTCTCGGTTGCGTGTGCCGCCCATCGGCACGCGGGTGCGCAGACATCGCGCGACTCTGCCCGCTCGCTCGACCCTTTTGCCGCGAGAGGGCGCCGGCCGCGTGTAAGAGGTGGCTGGCGCCCTGAGGCGGCAATTGGTGGCGTGGGGAGTGCGGAACGCTACTGGCGGCGTGACAGGGCCTCTCTCGGTTGCGTGTGCCGCCCATCGGCACGCGGGTGCGCAGACATCGCGCGACTCTGCCCGCTCGCTCGACCCTTTTGCCGCGAGAGGGCGCCGGCCGCGTGTAAGAGGTGGCTGGCGTCCTGAGGCGGCAATTGGTGGCGTGGGGAGTGCGGAGAACGCTACTGGCGGCGCGACAGGGCCTCTCTCGGTTGCGTGTGCCGCCCATCGGCACGCGGGTGCGCAGACATCGCGACTCTGCCCGCTCGCTCGACCCTTTTGCCGCGAGAGGGCGCCGGCCGCGTGTAAGAGGTGGCTGGCGCCCTGAGGCGGCGATTGGTGGGGTCAGCTCAGGCAGCGGCGTGCGGTGCTGAGTCTTACTCGTCGGCGCTGGGGCCAGATCCCAGCGCAGAACTCTGCAACGCTGGCATACAAACACAAGAAGACTAACCCTAACCCTAACCCTAACCCTAACCCTAACCCTAACCCTAACCCTAGGTCAGCGTGTGGGGCTGAGTCTTAGTCGTCGGCGCTGTGGGGCCAGATCCCAGCGCAGAACCCTGCAACGCTGGCATATACAGACACAACCAGACTAACCCTGACCCTAACCCTAACCCTAACCCTAACCCTAACCCTCTAACCCTAATAACCCTAACCTAACCCACCCCCCAACTCCACACCGCAAATTTGAAAGATCTTGATGAAAATCAGGCCCGACCGCAAATTTCTTCAAAATTTTCGCAGGCGCTCCGCGCCTGCAGATTTTGAAATAAATTCGACAAAATTGGTACCTGGCCCAAGGGGGACGGGTGTGTGGCAATAACACATCGTGCATCTCGAGCACGAGGCCGCACGGAGGCGCACGCAGCGACCGCTGACAGGCTGACAGCGCTCGCGCAGGCGCAGCGGCCCGCAGGACGGAGAGGCGGGCGATCGAGGGTTTGAGGCCCCGCGCGCGAGGACGGAGAGGCCGAGACGCGAGAGCGGGAGAGAGCGGGGGTGGGCGTGGGGAACGCCCTGTGTCTCGCGTCTGAGCGCCCCGCGGATTACAACGCCAGCATCACACGCAAACGAGTATTTTATCCAGTCCCACACCACAGCCCAGTCGTGATGCCCACGACGGCCGAGAGCAGGGCGACGCTCACCCACGCCCATCGGTCAAAGAGCTTGAGCCTCGAAGCGCTATAACGCGCGACGCGTGCAGCGTGCAGCCCGATCAGTGGGCAGTTGGAGCCGTACGCTTGCGCGGTGTGGCTCACACAGAGTGCGAAGACGAGCTCGTCCTGCTCCATCACAAATCCAGCGGCCACTGCGTTGAGGATGAGGTCGTGGTTGGACGGAGAGCGCAGCACGAGCCTGCGGCGGGGTGTCATCCGTGAGGGTGCGCCGAGCTCGCCCCCCCGGTTCGAAGAGCCGGCGCCCACTGCCGGAGAGCAGGACGAGGAGCGCGACAGCAACCTTGCCGCCGATGATGCACACGTAAAAGGCGGCGCGCTCCCTTGCCGTAATGCCGCTGACAGGCCGCGTGACCGCGGCTCCTGAGCCGTACTGCGCAAGCGCGCGTGGATGCCGGTCAAGGTACCTACCCACAGTTTGGGCCAAGCCGACTGCACGGAGGTGAGTGTGTACGTGTACGCCTCTGACGCCATTTGAGCACCTTTGAAAGCGCAGCAGTTCCATGGCCGGGACAGTGCGAAACTCGCCCAGCCACAGGTGTATCTCGTACGACTCGACCAGGTCGCGCAGCCCTAGCAACGCAAAGGTACACGTCGCGACGGCGCGGAGGAGCGGGCTCCCGTTGCTACAGCTCGCGTCCAGCGCCTCCGCCTCGACGACCGACTGCATCAGGTAGGCAGCGAGCGTTGTCTGGATGAGGTAGGAGAGGAGCAGTGGCAATGCGCCGTTGCCGTGTAGGAAGAAGTCGGTGGCGCGCGTCTCTGGAAGCGCGTTGAGCCAAAGGAGTATCGCATTGCCGTAGACGCTGTCGCGCGGGAGAGCACGCGTGATGCCTCCCACCTGGCTCTCATTGGCCGTACCAGGGCTGAACGGCTCGCCGACCTTCTCCAACATCTCGTCCAGCTGGCCTGCACGCCCCTCTGCCGCTTCGGCTGTCTCCATCGCCAATGCATTGCTGGCCAACATCTCCTCCAGCTGCCCTGCCCGCCCCTCTGCCGCATCGGCCGTCTCCATATCGCATTTGCGTGCCAGCGTGTCACAGACTTCGCTTTCCGTTTTAGTACGTACGTACTTCATGCTTACTGGGAGAAAAGGAAGACGGGGTTGTGTTCTCTAGGCCCCTAAGGGCCCTACGCGCGGCGTGAGAGCTGGGAAGGAACGGGGTTTTTCTTTTTTCACTGGGAGTGCATGATCGCGCTGGCTGCACACACCGCACTCGCAAGCTTGCGCTTCCGCGCCTACCCGCTGGTCGCGGTACCAGCTATAGCAGCTTCCCGATCGCAGTGCAGCAGCATGAGTGAGGTCGCAAAGGCTCAGACCGCAGCGCCCGGTGGCGACACCATCTTTGGAAAGGTGCGATATATGCACGCGACTGCTCATCGCGGTGGCGCTTGCGCTGACTCCTGACTCCCGCCGCCGCAGATCATCCGGAAGGAGATCCCGGCCAAGATTGCGTACGAGGACGACACGGTGGGCCGAGCGCCGTCGTTTGTGACCCGTCCGCAGTGGTGGTTTGGCGGCGGTTGAGCTGCTCCTGACCGCCTTCAGGTGCTGGCGTTCCACGACGTGGCGCCGCAGGCGCCGGTGCACGTGTTGGTCATCCCCAAGAAGCCGATCGCGATGATCCAGGCGCACGGCTGCGGGGCACCTCACGGCGCCTCGTGAGTGTTGGGCGACGGTGGCTGTGATGGCGGTGGAGGCGGCAGCAGTAGAGGCGCCGCTCGTAACGCCGAGCCGAAACTTTCTGCCCGCCGCAGGACGTGTGCGAGGACGACGAGCCGCTGATTGGGCACCTGATGGCGACCGCCGCCAAGGTTGCGAAGGGTCTCGGATTGGATGACGACGGCTACCGACTGGTAATCAACAACGGAAAGCACGGCGCGCAGTCTGTGTACCATTTGCACGTCCACATCCTTGGGGGGCGGCAAATGACGTGGCCGCCGGGGTGAGCAGAGGCCGAAGCCGTGAGGGCCGAAGCACCATCTTTGGTGCGCACGGCGCGCGGCCGGATAGGATGAGACGCAAGGCCTCATACAGACAGAGACACGTGTGCAAGCGGACACGCCCCTCAGAGGGCCTTCTTGCCACCTCGAGTTCAGTGGCAGAGGAGAGACGTGATTGTGTCGAGAAATCACGCAGGGATAGTTAGCATTGCATTTGATCTCTAGACTCTACACGACCCATCGTAAGCCGCGTCGGCAGCGGAGCCGCCGCTCGAGCGATGATTCCGCCGCCGCCAGCCCGCGTGCGCTTCGAGCGGGTGGTGGCGCGCGACGAAGGCTGCGACGATCTGGCCGTGGTCGAAGGCGAATTTCGGCGGCGCTCGCTGCAGATCGCTGGTCGAGACCACGCGGATGCCCTTCGCGTCGTCGCCGCTGCGTGGTGTGCCCCGCGCCCTGCCCACGAAAACCAGCGCAGCAGTGTGCCGGCGCGGATCTCGCCGTGGTTCGCTAAACATACACCACTGCTGCAGCTGCGTCACCTCGAGGCCGGTCTCCTCGGCCGCCTCGCGCGCCGCTGCAGCCTCTGCGCTCTCACCGACCTTCACGAAGCCTCCGACCATCGCCAAGCCGCGACCGTCCTTGCGTTCAATGAAGACAACGTGGCGCACGGTGCCGACGCTGTCCTCGAGCTCAATGATCACGTCCGCTGCGAGGCTTGGCGTGCACAAGCAGAACTCTTTCTCTCCGCACAGGCAAGTGCCGCTGGCAGCGGGCTCGACGAAGTCGCGCGTGCAAAGAGAGTTGAGTGGACCGGACAGCTGCGCGTGCCGCAAGGTGAGGGCGAGCGCGTACACGGAGACGGCGACGAGCGCGAACTCGGATCGGCTGGGCATTGTGCACCCGGACGCTGGGTTGGTGGCGGAGCGCGGAGCGCTCACTACTGTGCCGCCTGGCTCGCGCGCGCGCGTTTTCTTCATTTTGGGAAGCTGCAACAGACGCGCTTGCCTCCCAAAAGCGATGGGTTGGGCGTGTTGTAAGTATTTTCCACCCCGTGCGAAGAGGAGGGCGATGAAAAAAGGTCTTGGCTGGGTTGAGGAAATTGCAGGAGGCGTCACGAGGTCGTGTGAGAGAGAGATTTTTAGCATTTTTTTCTCGTGTGTGAAGCCCGGGCGATCGCTGGAGCGGTCGCGCCAGGCAGATGTTGATCAGCGTTCTACTCTCGACGCATGCCCACGCACGAGCGCTCACCAATGCTGGCTTGTCCGCCACCGCGGCGCTCGTCTCGCGCTGCGGCACAGCGACTCCGGATCGCCTTCTCCGTGTCACCGCCTCCGATGTTGCGGTCGAGAGTGGTGGCAGCATCGCGAGTGCACGCTCGCAGCTCGCTCTTCTGTCGGCAGAGCTTGGAAGCATGGAGGTGTCCCAGAAGGGCCACCTCGTCTACGCGTTTCCGCGCGACGTCCTGCGGCGCGCTCGACGACGCGAGAGCCAGCAGCCGCTCGCTCAAGCAGAGACGGCGGGGAAGGCATGCATCGGGCTGATGCTGCTCGCGTCTGTCTGTGCGCTGCGCCCGCTCCTCGCACGCGGCAGCGGTCACGCGCAGCGCGTGAGCCTGAGGCACGAGTTTCGTGCGCTTCGTCACGCCGTCGTCGGAGAGCAGCGGCTTACAGGCGGAGGCCCTTTCGACGCGGGCGGAGAGGGCGCAAGGGCTGGCGGAGAGGGCGCAGAAGCTGCCTCGGACGGAGAGGCGCGGCAGCTCGAGCAGAGCCTCGCGCTGGCGTGCTTCGCCTTTATGTTTGGCGACGGCCGGGCGCGCGTGGCGGCGCAGCGGCGCGAGGCTCAGCTCGCCGCCGTCGCGCGCTGCATCCGCGCCAGCCGAGGCGCGGTGTGCGCCGCGCAGCTGCGGCCCTTTCTGCTCGACCCCCCGCGGGCTTCCGTGCGCGGAAGCCGCTCGGGCGGCTCCTCATGGGGAGCAGAGTCCGCCTCTTCATGGCTGACGGAGGTCGAGCCGTCGCTCCTCCCGATCCTGCTCCGCTTCGACGGCCGGCCCGTCGCCACGGACGAGGGCGAGGTCTGCGCCTTCCCCGGACCGGAGGAGGCTCCCTTGCCTCGAGCCTCGAGCCCTCATCCCTCTCGGAGCCCTCGCAGGTCGTCTACTGCTTCCCTGACCTGCTCGCCACCGCCGGCAGGGACGCCAGCTACGGCCTCTACCCCACGACCGCGCCGGTCGTGCGCGGGGCCGGCTCGGTGCTCCGCCGCCTCTCCGGACCGAGCGCCGACCGCTCCGACTACTGGGAGGAGGGGGTGCGACCCTTCGCCACCGGCGCCTCGGCCGCGCTGCAGCGCAAGGTGTACGCCGTCGCCTGCGCAAACTTGTGTGCGGCCGTCGTCCTCGGCGGCCTCCTCGGCCCGCTGCAGCTGTACTTGCGGCGCGGTGCGGGCGGCGCTGCGGCGCTGACTGTGGTCAACTTCGTGTACGGTGGCATCCTCACCAACGGGCTGGCGTGGCTGCTGCTGCCGGCGGCGCGGCGCGTCCGCCTCTTCCGCGATAATTGGGCGGCGCGCGGCCGCAACCGGCGGAGGAGGAGGCTGGCAGAGCAAGTCCTCGCCGCGGAGGCGCCACTGCCGTTCGTGCCGCCGCACGGCGAGCGGATCGCGCGCGGGATGCGCGCGGCGAGGCGGCTGCGGGCGCGCGGGCGAGAGCACGAGGCGGCACGGGACGATGTGGTCTACACGACGGCGAAGGACGTGCTCGAGCAGGCGGAGGCCCACGACCCATCGAGGGAGGCGTGGGACGCGGAGCTGGAGCGGAGGACGGGCAGATTGGGAGCGGCATAGTCTCACTGACATGAGCTCGGCACTCGGGTGTACATACTGTATATACAGCGAGCGTGACGCGCGAGTGGCGAGAGGCTGTGCTGACCTGTGCGCGCGCTCATCACATAACATCACAAACGAAAATTTAACGCACGCGCACGGGCCACAACTCGAGGGGCCCGCACACACGTGTCGTCGTGCGTCAAAACACAAAAGCCGTGCCAGCGTGTGCCACGCGTCGAGCACGCTAAAAGAACCCTGGACACAGATCGCACGGGCGGGGACCTGATGAATTTTGGACCTCAATACGCTCAGTGTCCGGCCCACACGCAACAGACAACACGGCTCAAAGGGTCACTCCTTCGTCCCCGCCAGCATGGCCTTGGCCGTGCCATCGCCGTACACCGCATCGAGGGCGAGGCTGCGCTCCTCGGTCGGTGCGAGGCGTATATACTCGTCAAACGCCTTCAGGCACTTTTGCAGCGCCTCGGCCGCCACCTCTGCCTCTTGCCGTTCGCGGGGCAGCCCCTGCTGGTATTTCAGCTCGTCTCGCAGCTCGGCGAGCTGCGCGAGCACCTCGTTGCGCAGCAGGTACTGCGTCGTCTGCTTGGACGACGGCGTCGAGCCGCCGAGCAGGTACGCGTTCGCCTCTGGGCTGCCCGAAGCGTAGTAGATGTTGTCGCTGTACGCGTTGAAGGCCCGCTTGAGCGCAACCGTCTCGAACGGCTCGTCAGTCACGACGCCGAGGATTCGCGGCCACTCGGACGGCGTGCTCAGCGCCGGCTCGAGCGACCGCAGCGTCTTCTGCATCCGCACGACCGGGATTAGCAGCAGCGCCGGCACGGCGGCGGGAGGCCCGCCCGGCGCGAGCCCCTCCTTGCCGCCGTACTGGACGGCGTCCGCCTCATCCTGGAGCAGGATGCGCACGCGCTCGAGCCATTTGGCCTGCAGCGGCTCGCGGTCGGGCGGCGCCAGGCCGGCGCGCTGCTGCCAGCTCTCAGCAGCGAGCGACGCGGCGGGAGCGCTGGCGAGGGCGGAGCCGGCAGCGGCCCGGAAAAGCAGTTGGCGGCGCGAAGCGAAGCTGGTGGCGCCCGCGAAGGATGCGAGGAGGGCCGCGAGGGCGCAGTTGCGGGCGTGGCGGGCCATCGGCACCAAACGTATTAGTGGCTGGCGGCTCGACCCTTCGCGGAAATCAAGACCCTCACCAACTCGAGCAGCCTTCGGTGAGTGCCTCGACCCTTCGCTCCGGAAGTGAGAAAACCGAGACGGCCGCCGCGGAGACTCAAAATCCCTTGTAATGTTCGTAAGTGGTAAGAGCTACATACATGTGCACTGAAAAACAAAAAGAGATCGCGAGCGCGCGAGGCGCGGGTGCTAGCGACTTACGAGTTATGTCGTACGGCTTCACAGAGATGGCCGAGTCCCGAGATGCTACTGGTACGCTGCCTACTCGAGTAAGGTTTCCTAAGGATTTTTGCTAAGATGTAAGATTGCGAGAGGCCCATGAGCGGCCATACGGCTTTCATCTTAGGGGACCCCTAGGGTTCTGCTGGGTTTTTAGGTAGGGTTCTGAGGGCCGGATTTTACCTTTTTTTAAGACCTTTTAAGAAACGAGGAGGTTTGGGGGCTTAACTTGCCATTTAAGAGATTGCAGGCACGGGGGGTCCCTCTTTTAAGACCGTTTAAGAAAATCGGCCTCGCCGGCATGCGTCGCTGGGTTCCGCGCCGTTTTCTCCAATTGTCCAATACTGCTGTTAGTAGGCTCAAACCCGCCTCTGAGGGGACAAGGGTAAGTAGGGTATAAAGTATCCGTACGGCACGAATGGCTGGTTATACTGGGGTACATTAGGAAGTCAGCGCCATACTGCCATACCTGACAAGGACTCACACTGTGGTAGGTAGGGCCAGGTATCCGTACTGCTGAGTGCTGTAGCAGTGCCCAGTGCGCCCGGTACCCGGATACCGGCGTCCGGCCTCCTCGTACTGCAATACTGCAAGAGGGGCGGCACAATACTGCCATACCTCCCACACACAAGTGTCGAAGTATGTATGGCGAAGCATGCATACTTCAATACCACAGACTTCGCCGCTTGTACGCGGATACTGCAGATACTGCAGATACTGCAGATACTGCAGATACTGCAGATACTGCAGATACTGCAGATACGGGTGGGTGCCAATTGCGCTATACAACAGCGGCTGCGGCACCCCACAGCCTCGGTGGAACAGCTGCCAAAAGCAGAATATGCACTATTACGAGGGGGGTGTGGCATCTCTTGCGAGTCTCGCGAGGGGCGCCTACTAACCTCGCTTGCGAGGGGCGTGTGGCATGTCTTGCGGGGCTCGTGAGGGGCGCCTGCCAACCTCGCTTCGTCGAAGCGGCGCTTCGTACACACAACCACCCTGCCGCAACCGTCGCCGGCGCGCGACACGTTCCCGTCGGCCGGACTGTCCTCGTCGAGTGTGTGTCGCCAACCAAGGCGGGACGCACTCAGGGACGGTGCCGACGAGACGTGAGCCACGGTTGCGTGCAGACATGATTGCGTCACCTGGTGGGTCGCGGCGACACACGCGCTCAGGAGTGCAAGCTTGAACTTTGCAGGCATTGGCCGCCGCTGCCGGTACAGTGCATCCTGGCAGAGCCAGCGCGGCGGCGGCAGATCTGGGCTGCGAGGGTGGTGCTGCCACACCCCACCCGCCTGTTGCCACAGACGACCCGGATACCGCGGATACTGCAGATACTGCAGATATTGCAGAATACCGCAGATACTGCAGATACTGCAGATACTGCAGTATACTGCAGATACTGCAGATACTGCAGATACTGCAGAATACCGCAGATACTGCAGATACTGCAGATACTGCAGATACTGCAGATACTGCAGATACTGCAGATACTGCAGATACTGCAGATACTGCAGATACTGGAGCGCGCCCCCGAGATACCTGGTTACTTGGGGGGGTTGCGGGACCACGTAAGGAGTGGTATCCCTGTACCCATACTTGCGGGTGTGACGCCGCTACCTGTGTACTTGAGACGAGTTGCAACATACTGCCATATGTGCGTCTCAAACTCCCCATACCAGCATACGTCTAGCTATGCGTCTACGAAGTATCTTTAAGTACCAGCGTATGCCTACCTGGCGCAACAGCAGGATTTACCTGCCTACCCCGAAGATGGAAATAGATACCCCGATACGTTCATACCTCACGCATACCCTACTTCCCCCTGTCCCCTGAAGACACATTTGTAAGTCTGGTGCACTGGCAGGAGCCATCCATACCTCGCATAGGGGACGCGTGCTAGCTGACTGTAGCCAGCTTCCCGGCCTGTCTACCGGGAGCCTCCCGGACCATCGAGCATCGTGCACGTCGTCGTCGACCTCGGGAGCTCTCCCGCACCGTTTATGGCTAGTGCCATTTCACTGTGGCAGAGCTCGCGTTACAAAGCTTTGATTTTGACCATTTGCGCCATTTGGTACCTCTCGGTGCCTTCCAGAGGCAGCTGTGACCCCGCCGAGTGGACGGGGGCACTCGGCAGGTGGCGCGGAGTGCCCCCGTCCACTTGGCGGGGTCGCAGCTGCCTCTGCGCGTCCTGGGGAGGTACCGAATTGTCGCCGCCGGAGACGACTCGACGCCGCTGAGATCGGAGATCAAGCTCTGACAGGTCGCACGTCGCTCCTTTGACGCCGACGTGACTCACCCGTGCAGATCACATCAGGACACGGTCTCGACGCGCTCGGTACGACGCCTGCGACCCGTCTCGGGTCAGGTGGCATGACGCTCATCTCGCCCGCCAGCGCTGCCATGCAGGCTGCCACGACGAGGTCGAGCACGCTTCTATACGCTCGCCCAGCCTTCCTTTCCATCCCATAAGGTAGCCTGGGAACGGTGGCGGTCAGAGGCAAAGCCTACGAGGGGTGGTGGAACCACATGTCACGGCTACTGCCGGCTCGACCCCACGATAGCCTCCGGAGGCTGACTTTGAGGCACAACCATCGGACGATGTCGACGAGTTGGGTCGCTCTCGCGGTAGCCAGATGACCTCTCATACTAGGAGCATCGGCCATGGCCGCAGGGAGCGCGGGGGAGGGCGCTGGAAGCAACACGGAGCTCCGTTGGAGGCGTTTTCAAGATTAGCGTGTCAGAGTGAAATGGCACTAGCCTATGCGTTTAAGACCGTTTTGCGTTTAAGGAATCGGCGGCCCAGGCAGCCTTAAAATGGGCCCGGGCCCGTTTTAAGCTGTTTAAGCCGCAGGCGCCCCAGGGCCCACCCTTTTAAGCCTAGCTACAAGCTAGGGCGTAGGGGTCCCCTCGAAGGCTTAGGGTACCCCTAGGGTTCTGAGGGCCGGATTGTTTTAAGACCTTTTAGGAAATGAGGAGGTTTGGGGGCTCAAATTGTCATTTAAGAGATTGCAGGCACGGGGGGTCCCTCTTTTAAGTCTGTTTAAGAAAATCGGCCTCACCGGCACGCGTCGCTGGGTTCCGCGCCGTTTTATCCAATACTGCCTTTACTGGTTGGGTAGTAGTCTAAGTTCTGAGCCTCGCGGCTTAACGGGTCTAAGTGTGGCTAGCCACGCTGGAGTGCTTACGCGGTCTAAGATCAGCGGGAGCCTCTTACACCGGCTAAGTCGGCCATGGCACGCGATATACGGCGCTCGCGCCCAAATTTTCTTCGCCTGCGCGGCGGGCGATCGATCCTCCTCATGCTCAGCAATCGCCGCCTCAGCATCCTCCTCTTCCGATTCTCGTTGCTGCTTCTTGAGCGCACTTCGGCGACATCTAGCCAAATAGTTCTCACAAATAGCCTCAAGCTCAAACAAACGCATGTCAGAGAAGCCTGTGTATGCTGGTCCTCTTTGAACGATCCGCGCGTGAGGTAGCATAGGGCCTTGTTGGCAGCAGCCAGCTTGTTGCGCTGCTTCGTTGCGATGAGCTGATTGGGATCGCAGAAGTGCATGCCAAGCACCGCCACGATCTTGAAGCAGAACACATCGCAACCGCATCGTCCGCACTGCCATCGGCATGCCGCGCCCGCCGCTTCGCCGCAGCCGCCTTAAGGCACGCATAGCGGCAGCACATGGTACGGTGCGCGTACTTGAGCAGGCGTTGCGCGCCGCAAGTAGCGCACTGGCCCTGGGAGACGGCGATATGGCGTCGTGCGCGACATACGCTGGTCGGGACCGCGTCCAGGTATTTTTCGGGTAAACCTGGACTTTTGCAGGTTTTACCCGGAGTTGGCCTCGTGTCGTCTAAGTTCATGGCCCCCGGCCTTCCAGCGTCTAAGTCTGAGCCCGGCTCCGTGCGGGGGCTAAGTTGAGCGCTCGCTCGCTGCAGAGGCTAAGTGTAGAGCGACCCTCTAGCCCTACTACCCAACCATTCTGCCTTTATTAGGCACAAACCCGCCTCTGAAGACACATCTGTAGGTCTGGTGCACTGGCAGGAGCCATACTCGCATAGGGGACGCGTGCCAGCTGACTGTAGCCAGCTTCCCGGCCTCCGGCGTCTACCGGGAGCCTCCCGGACCATCGACCTCGGGAGCTCTCCCGCACCGTTTAAGCGTTTAAGACCGTTTAAGGAATCGGCGGCCCAGCAGCTCTTAAAACCGGCCTAGGCCGGTTTTAAGCCGTTTAAGCCGCAGGCGCCCCAGGGCCCACCCTTTTAAGCCTAGGGGTACCCTAAGCTCGAAGGCTTTCATCGACGCGACCCCCAGACTGGGGACAGTTACAGCTTACACAGGTCACAGCTATATCCACAACAACGCGGTCCGGTTCAGTGTGTGAGCGCACCGTCGACCGCCACAGCACCGTACACA